CACAGAACCCGCAGGTGGCGCGATGCCCTGGGGAAACAGTGCAAGTATTGGAGGAAAACCAGTGCCAGGCCTCTTTCTCTAAAATAGGACCGTATTTTTCTCAATCTAAGAAACAAGCAAACCCACAACCTGGGAGAGTGGCTGGGAAACAAAACGAAACAGGAGTGAAACTGGAGCATAGCAGCATTTTGGCAACAGCCCATCCATGAGTGCAAGAAGGAAAGTGCGACTCACAAGTAAAGGGGCCCCTTCCATTCCGCAAGGGCAGAACCGGAGAGTGTCCCGCGAATCCGCCTGGCCAGGCTTCCCTGCACGGCTGAACCGCAGGCGCTGCCTGTAGCCCAACAGCGATTCCTGGGGAGCTGCGGCCCCCACTCCGCAGGCTGGCAACGGGGGAAGCCACAATGGGGCTTCCTGTGCACATGGGGACCCCAAGCTAGAAAGGGGGGCGGGCCAGAAATGGGTACAGGTGACGCTTTGTTTCTTCTGCCATGCAGCTCCCAGCAAGCAACCTTCCAGGATGACCCCTCCAGATTCCAAAATTATGTGGAAATTGAATAATCACAGAGTAGTGGCGCTGGAAGGGGCAAGAGGGCCCTCAGGCCCAGCGCCCTGCTCAGTGCAGGCCTCCTCTTGAAGCGTCCCTCCCAGAGGGCTTCCAGCTGCACCTGGGCTGCCTCCAGGCTGGGACAGACCCCACCTCCCGGGCTCATTGGCTCCACTGTCGGACTGCTCCAACGGTCTGCAAAAGGCTCCTGATACGTAGCTGGAATCAGCAGTCCCTTAACCGGAGCCCATTCTTGCGTGTCCTGCAACCATTTATGATAAAAAAGAGAACTCGGCCCTCCCCTCTTACTATCTTTTCAAATATTTGACATCCTATCTCCCCTCAGTCTTCTCTGCTTGAGGCTAAACAGGCCCAGCTCTTCCAATCCCTCCCCCCGGGGCTTCGTTTCCAGTCCTCAGATCATCTCAACCATTCCCAGCCTGTCTGCATTTTCTGAAATTGCGGAGCACTGAACTCTCTGTAATACTCAAGATGGCCAACTGTGGCGCCCTTGAGAGCTGATCCCCTCTTTCAGCTAATTTGCCACCGAAGGTCTCATGGGGCACTTCATCAGAGGCTTTGCTAAAGAAAAGGCACAGGACGTGACCAGTCTTCCCAGTTTCTATGTGGTGAAACACAAAGCAGGAATGAAAACCCCCAGGAAGCCCTCTCCACACCAGCTGATTTTCCCGGTGGGGAAACAAGGCAACAAAAAATTAGTGAACCAGTAGCCAGGCAACCAAAATCCTCCCATTGCAGCTTTTACCATCACTTATAACAGCAGCAAGAGAAGGAGAGGATCTTCCCAGTCTTATCTAAATACCTTTGGATTCACTCATGACTCCAGGGAATTGCTTCCTCCATCCCTCCAGATCAGGCTTTCGATCAGAGAAGTACCAGATCCTCCGTTTCAGCTCCAGAGGGACAGCCGCTGGGATCTCACAGGGCTCCTTCTCACTTCTGCCAGAGAAAACAGAGGCAAGCTCCACTCACCGAACCCAGGATTCCCTCTGGGAGCAAAGGAGGGCCAGCCAAGAACAAAAGGTGGGCCTCATTTGGGGGGGGGGGCAATGGCCCCCCGAGAACCCTCCAGCAGCCCCACAGGTGGGCAGAGCTTCAGCTGACTGGGGCAGACGGGGCAGTCTGCTTGTGTTCAGTTATGCTTAGGATCAGGACTGCGTGTGCTTTGCGGGTTGTGGGAAGTTTGCCCCTTTGGGGGTGATATTTGGATTGTGGGGTCTGCATATATGAGCTTAGTGTTGGGAGGTGTGCTTTGCTGGCAGAGAGGAGCCTTCCGCCGTGCGTGAGGGAGGGGAAGGAGCGTTCCAAACTCAGCAGCCAGACCCTGTTTTTGTCTTGAGAGACGCTAGTGATCTGTGTTCTCTGCTCAGGAGCCAGGAGCAGCCGGTCCTCCCAGTGCCGTCCAGACCCTTCCCTGCACCAGTGGAAACGAGGGGGACGCACTCACCTCTGCAAGGTGCTTCTCACATCCTGGAGGGGAAAGAGGGAAAGAGGAGGCGCTCAGTGGGTGTCGCTCTGCACTCCTGAGTTGCACCTGCCCAGTCCTGTTCGGTGCCTCCACTTGAGGGCACAAAGGGAGGGACAGAAACCATCCCCACCAGGAGGCACCAGGAGGAGCTTCATGAGGAGGGACATGAATGGACTGGGAGATTCCACCACCACCAGGAAGCCTCCGGCTGAGTGCCAAGACTGATGCTCATCCTGGAGGCTCCTGCCAGTAACGGTGCTGCTTGCCAGGCCAACATGCACGCTGCCCTCTGGAAACAGGTGCAACCCTGAAGCATGTTCAGGAAGGGAGGATGTGAGAGGATTCAGACTCAGGCCAGGCGCCTCCCACAGCCTCTTTTGCTCCCGCAGCCTGTCCTTTGGAGGGCAGCCTTCTCCCGGCTTCCCCAGGCAGGAATCAACCAGTCCTTTCCAGCAGCAGAACACTGGGGCACTTGCCCACAGGAGCCACACTGAGAAGCTCCCTCTTGTGTGCAGAAGAAAGATTTGTCAGGCTTTGGTGGCGTCAGTTGTGAGTGGAAACATGCAAGAGGAGTGAGGTTAAGGTCTGTCTGTCCTGGGGCTGCACCATGTTTGAGATTCTGTTCAGCACAGGAATAGATTACTAGATGGAGGTATTACTATTACTACCACTCTACACGACTCTGGTGCGCCCGCAATTGGAGTATTGTGTTCAGTTGTGGGCCCCTCATTCCAGAAAGCATATAGGCAGGTTGGAGTCAGTGCAGCATAGGGCCACAAGGTTGGTGGCGGGTTTGCAGGGGATGCCGTATGAGGCGAGACTGAGGAAACTGGGTCTCTTCAGCCTGGAGAAGGGGAGACTCAGAGGGGATCTGTTGGCGACATACAGGTACGTGAGGGGGTGTCACATAGAGATGGGTAGAGACCTGCTCTCTCCTGCAGAGGAAGGCAGGACGCACTCCAATGGAGCAAACCTCAGGGGACCAAGGTTCAATTTGGATGCCAGGAAGCACTTCCTGACAGTTAGGACCCCGAGGGTGTGGAATGGGCTTCCATGAGAGGTCGTTGAGGCCCCGTCGGTGCGGGTATTCAAGGATAAGCTGGACGACCACATGGTGGGCATGTCGTGAGCGGAGCCGGCTGGTGCCGGAGGTCAGACTAGATGGCCCGGGAGACCCCTTCTGACTCGCTCTGTTTCCGTGTTTCTGTGTTCCTAGATCCGACCTGCCTTCCGGATTGGCAAGACCACTGGGCCAGACTGCTTTGCGGTCACTTCCCCAGCCCCGCACCACCCTCTGCTTCAGCCTGGGTCTCATGAAGGGCTTCACCGCAGGGTGGCCCCGTCAAGGGGTCCGCACTGCCTGCCTCGGCCCTCCCTCCACAGACGCAGAGGCGAGCAGCGTCTGGCTGAGTCTCCTCCTTGGGGGATGTGGGGGCTCCTGCCCGCTCCTACCTGCAGGAGTTCAGCTGCCGGCTGCCGGCTCTTCTCCTCCACCTCCCGCATGATGCCTTCAAGGGAAGAGAGTTCCTTGGAAAGCCTGGCCAGGTGGTCCTCCGCTTTCCTGCCAATCTCCTCCTGCAACTCGTCCACCTGGATAAGGAGATACTTCTCTTGCTCTTCCAGGAACTGATGCAGGCGCCTGAACTGAGCCACCATCTCCTCCCGCTCTGCCTTTGTTTGCTCCTGCAAGAAGGAGAGTGTGGAAAGGCGGGAATGGGCAGCCGGAGCCAGAAACAGGGTCACTCTTGCGAGGGATGCTCAGAGACCCCCTCTCGGAATGGCCCCTCTTGCATAATTGCCAGAATAGGTTCAGCAGCTTTGAACAGTGTCATGTGCTCTGCAGGGAAGGGCTGCCCCGGGGCTCTCAATTCCCTGGCATTTTCTCTTCCATGTGACCCATCCTGGCTGAAGTGCCCCTTCCCTTCCATGACACATTCTGGACACTTACCAGCAGCGCCTGCTTCTCCCTTTCTGCCTCTGCTTTACATGCCAAAATCCTTCCTCTCTCATCCCTCAGACTCTCCAGGCGACGCTGCAGCAGATCCTGGAGAGGGAGGAGCAGTTCACTTTCAGTTTAGAGAAGCAGAAAAGGAATTGAAAGGGACATTCACGATTGCTTCCCTTTCCCATCTTGGTGGGGTCGGGGGGAAGGGGGCTCTCAGGTGCCTTTTGATCCCAGGCAGATCCAGAAACGAGCTGCAACATGCGCTGGGCAGGCTCTGAGCCGAGATGAAGGGACGGTGCAATTCCAGAATGACCGGTCAAAACACCATTCAATTGACTGCCCTTCCTGAGCTCTTTAACTTTGAAAAGGAAAAGGCTTTTTCTGCTATTTCCTCATGAGGGGAACCAGCAAGGGAGCATCCCGGAAGCGCAGGGAAGGCGGAGTGGAAGAGGCTTCCGGCCACCCCAGAAGTGACCAGTGCCGCTCTCATCCCCGGGCGGGAATGGCAGGCAGGGCAGCCCCTCTGTGGAGGAAGAAGCCCAGAAGGACACCAGCCCCCGCAAAGGGGCATTCCTGCTTTTCCTGGGGGAATTCTTCGCTTCGTCCGAAATTGCACTGGGGTTGGGCATGGCCTGTGCAGGATCTCTGGTAGAATCCTTCTCTCCCTGAAATGGGCTGTTCCTCAATAAAGGAAGGATTGCAGCACCCGGAAACACAGGCAGAGTGCAGCTGGTGCCTTCAGGAAGTGCAAGGACAAGAAACGGGGAGGGGAAAGAGGGAGCACCTGAAGCTCTGAATTCCTCACAAATATTCCATGGGTCAAGGACCTTAGGTGCACCCAGCATCTTTGATCACCCCCTTCAGTGCTGGCCTCTCATTGGCTCTGCACCCAGAGACCAGCTGGGCCGGACACACGCCTGCACACAAGCACACACACACGCAGGCACACACTCCGGCGAGTCGGGGCTGTGGGAGTGTGGCCCCTTCTTTTAATGCAATTCAGTATTTTCTTTAGCAATATTGTTTATTAATGGTTGAACCTGTATGTCTTGGCCACATGCAGTTGGGCTTTCGGGTAGCCTTTGGGTAGATGCAAAAGAGGTTCGGGGACATGCAAAGGGCAGGCAGGAGGAGTCTTAAAGGGTCCTGCTCCATATTGCAGCTCCAGTGCGAATCTTGGTATACTCGGGGGGGGGGGGTTGGAAGGAGGGCAGAGGAGAAGAGGGACTGATTCCCGGGACCACCTTTCACCTGGGAGTCTCTGAAGCCACATTCCCCTCCCCGTTCTGGGGCCCCTCCATGCACCTCCATCACGTCCTGCCACACCGGCTGTTTCCTCTCCCCCTCCTCAGAGCAGGCACAAACCGTGGGAACTTTCCCCCAGAGATCAGAGGATCAGGGAACATCATTCCCTTCCTATTAGTCTTCGGATAGGCCACCCTCAGAGGGCCCCACAGGTATTTCTCCCACCCCCACACCCCCGGCAAGAAGTGCACAGATCTCCTACCTGGTACTCCTGGGACGCCTCCTCCAGGGGAACCACCTGGTGATCCTTGTGCTCCTTGGCTCTGTCACACACCAGGCAGATGGGGGCTTCGTGGTCCTTGCAGAAGAGTTTCTGGGGCTCCCAGTGCTTCTCACAGAGTTGCACCTTCCCTTCAGCACCTTTGACGGCCTCTTCCCTTGATTTTCTGGCGATTTCCACAATCCTGGCCAGCTGCCGATTGGGCCAGAGGCTGCTCTTCTGGAAGGTCCCCCTGCACTGGGGGCAGGAGGCCTGTGCATCTGAATTCCCCCCGCTCTGGCTCAGGCAGGCTCGGCAGAAATTGTGCCCACACTCGGTAATGATCACGGGATCCCTGAAATAATCCAGGCAGATGGGGCAAGTGGATTCCTCGCAGAGAGCCCAGATGGTGCTCTTGGGGGTGTCAGCCATGGCTGCTGCACACAGCGGTTTCACTTTCCACAGATCAGTAAGTGGGAGTTTCCTTCCCGTAAATGCGAGCCCGGCCCGGCCTCGCTCTGAGGCCCAAGCCACCCATGTGACTCCGTCCAGGTTTACTTTCCAGCACCACACAGTCACTTCCTGCCACATGCAGCTCATCAAGTCACTGTTCTCTGTTCCTCTGAATCTAGCGAAGGGTCGTTTTATTTATGTTATTAAGAAATAACATGCGGCGTTATCTGGCACCGCAAGGAACTGGTAAGAAGGTGTCTGTACTGGATGTTTTTATGCCCCGTCTGTTATATGCAAAGTTTGGGGAGAGGGGATCAGGTGGGCACTTTGCTGGAGGCACATGAGAGTGAAGCCAGAGGGCTGAATGGATTGAGACAGCGCAACAGGAAAGGGGGAAACTTCAGGACAACGTGGGCTTTGCCTGGCCTTTCTGTCCAGAGGATGGAATAGAAGCCAGTGGCCCCCAGGCAAGGAGATGCTCAAGGTGGAGCAGCGAGGAGGATTCCCAAAACCCTGTGAGAGCTGCTTGACCTGCAGGCTGGATTCTGCAAGGAAGAGGCACTTCGAGATACAGTGGTACCTTGGCTTACAAACTTCACGTGGCCATCTTCACGGACATCTGGAAGAGCCAAGTCTGGAGTAGGGATGTGCGAGGAATCAGTTCGCAGGTGAGACTCCATCAGAATCAGGGGAAGTCACAAGGAATTTTCCAGGGAAGAATTAAAATAGGATTGCACCTGGCCCCAAATAGAGCCCTGTTTCCCCATGGAAACCTCCCCTGCTTGTCGCCCTGCTAACCAGAGTGGAGTGGGGAGTACCAAGTTTTGAATACGAATCAAGGCTAGACTGGAGAGAATTTAAAATTTGACTTGACGCAGAGCCACCTAAATATCCGAGCGGCAGGCCAGATAATAACAGAAATGGGTAGGAAGAGAAAGATACCCCGGAGCAAGCCAGATGAAACAACTCACTCCTCGCAGGACCTGGAGCGGCTCCAGCCCCTTGGCTCCCCCCTCCCCACCCCCGTCCCGGCGGCTGCTGCTGCTGCTGCTGCCTGAACTCTTCCGGCTCGCCGCGTTGCTCCCGCCCTCCCCTCCCCTCCCCTCCCCTCCCTCGGCCTTCCGGAGGGGCTGCCAGGAAAGGCCTCGGGGGGGGGGGGCGCCAGGGGCTCCCGGAGCTGCCCCTCCCTGCCTGGCGCTTGGGGCGGCGCTCTGTGCGAGCTCAGAGGTCCCCTCCCCCATCCAGGCTGCCCGCGGCTTCGGTGCTCCTGGGAAGCCCCCGAGAGTCACGTCGCCCCTCCGCTCCCGCGACCTCCCCACACAGACGGGGCCTCGGGGCTCCAGGCGCTTGGGGGTCGCGGGCGCTGAAATGCTCCGGGCAGGCGGGGCACGGCGCTTCCTCGGGGGCCCCCGGGTACTTTCGCTTTCGCCGTCGCTTCCCCGCCGGGGTGTTTCCTTCCCGGAAGCGGTGGGGCTCCCGCGCGGTCCCTGGTAAACATAAGGGCGGGCAGGGGGTGGTGCGCTGGGCCCGAGGCTTCCTCGGGGGAGCAGTGGCGCCACCTGCAGGCTGGTGCGGGAAGTGGCTCGGTTCCTTCCGCAGGGCCAAGAGCGGCAGGAAGGCGGAGAACTAGCTGAAGCCTCCCCAGAGGGGCCGTGCCTGCAGACGCGGCTTGCTGAGGCGCCGGGCAGGCAGAAGCCTTGCACCCCTCCTGCGTGAGGCGTCCCGTGGGCGCCTGCTTGGCCGACGTGTGTATGAAGTGCTGGACCACGTGAGCATGGAGAAAATCCTGCATGGAAAGTGTGCTTTTGCTGCAATGGTGCTTGGAATTGGGGACCAACGAGTTGGAAGAACCCCGAGGGGGTCCAGATGGGCCAAGGCGGTGAGGACAGGACCCCCTCGGGGAAGCCGTCCTGACCCAGGAGGGACTGCATGAGGGAGCGGCTGCAGTGACAGCAAACCACCTCCACAAATGGGTGCCCACGAAGGCCGGCAGAACTCAAACAGCACTCGAGAAGTGGCACAACTGGACACGGAGCCAGGCCATGGAGGAGCGCCTGGATGCCAGGCGTGCAGCTCTCTCCCGGGAGAAACAGGGTGGAAGCTGGACCCGGAGCGGACGAGCTGGTCGTTCGGCTGCTCTGCTGGAGGCCAGGCCTGGCGGCGATGCCCCAGCGACTGGTGAGCTCTGCCCAAGGCCTGGTTCACGGCCCAGTGAGGGCTGAA